ATGTGCTCTTCTTTTCAATTATTTGATTTCACTCCTTACTTGGGGGGGGTTCCAAATATCTTTCAGCATGTTTTCTTAGTATATCTTGACTTCATGCAATAATTGCACCAAAATGAGTTTTTGTCTTTAAATTTTGAGAAATTTTTATCTTACTCCTTCCATGACGATTATCTGTTCATCACCATTGCTGAACTTTCAACGACCTTTGGTTCTAACATCACTCCCCATCGTCTTTCTTCCGTGCGAATGAGATAAATGGTTTCATTAAGTGATGGCGTCTCCTCTTTGCCGATGATCTGGACTCTAACCTGATCAAATTATGCATATAGTCCTGCAAAAAAATCATAAACTCTATCTTTTTCAATAAAATTTTTTGGGATCGCAGCATCTTCCGGACATATGGCTTCTATGTAAATGTAGTGATGAAGTTCTTGCCATAGATTTTGTAGAAGAGTGGCATACTCCATCACGATCTTGCTCCTTTGCTTTGTGCTCCCTACTTTGATTTTGATTTCAATGATTTGAGCCCCATCCCGAGCTTTTCACAAAGTTTGTCTTGCGGCATCTCATGTCCTTTGCAGTGGAGATGAACATAAATGTATCGCTAATTTCCATAGTCATGGAATTCCAGAACCATGACATAATCACGGAGTCTGCTTCATCCCATGCCGCAAAATTAAGATCTCCTCCTTTTGGTCCTCTGATTTATTTTTCCTTTTCCCTTTAAGTAGGTCTTTACAAATTGAGACCACTTTAGGTAGTTCTTCCCATTTAGGCGATAGGAAGGTTGTATACTTTAAAGATCACCTCATTCTTGGTATATCATAAAATCTTCTATTTGATCAAATCTCTGGGACAAATTTTCTTCAGACATTGTGGTGTTATAATAGCAATAAAGGCTGATTTCAGGTCTTAATCAGGTCTCAAATCTGATTTAAGATTCCTTGTTGTTGTCAACCCGTCCCAAGTGAAGGGCCCGCCTGTCTCTGTGGATCGGAAGGGGCATCCGATTGAGTCTAAGAACATTCAGGCGAACATCGCCGAGCGTCTTATCTGATCGTTCGGGAGAACTGGCTTCTTCCGAGCGTGAGCGACCGATCGTCGAGCATCTTCTCCGATTGTTCGATCGAATTGTCTTCGTCGAGCATCCGAGCATCTCCAAGCGTTGAGCGTCTTCGTCTTCTTCCTGCCTTCCGAACGTCGAAGCGTCGCCTTTTTGCATCTAGAGGTCGAAGTGTAAGAGTCTGATCGTCCGATTGTCACCTTCTTGCATCGCCTTCGGCTTCATCTTCCTCTGATAAAACTTCTTTCATTTGGCTTCCAATGGCTTCCTCCCTATCTCGTTCGTGGCTCTAATACCATGTTGAATTCAGAAGATTGGAGAGGGAAAAAGTTTGAAACTTTATTCAACATGATCCCTATTTATAGTCTATACAATATGCTTATATAAAGAAACAAATTATTACACAATATAGAGTAATACAATCCTTCCTAATTTTGTTGTCTAACTAAGGCTCATAACGTGAGGGAGCTTCCCACGGATCGCTATTTGCAGCCGTGGGATTAATCCAGGATTAAAGGTCTGGGATTTAACAAAAAAAAGTACATGATACTTGACATTGCATAACACATTGTCAATGGATAAATTTTTTTCATCGACTAAAATCATATAAGAAAATAAATTTGAAATAATATTTGGAGAAATAATTAAGAAAGTAATTTCCTATTGAAAGGGAACTACATAAAGTTTTCCTTCAACTACAAAAGGTGCTTACATAGAATATTAAATCATGTCACATTTTTCTGTAATTGTTACACTAGTGAGCAGATTCATGTATCATGAACATATAGCATACAAATGTACGAATTATTCAAAAATACCTTCATTTTCATTTCTTGTCGTTTCAAAAGTATGGCAAATACATGTATTTTAAACATTAAGTGCATAGTACTCAAATTATATATATTATAGTCCCGTTTTATGAAAAATATTACCTTAGATCCCTATTTTTTTATTTAATTTAATTAAACAATTTGTACTTTTCAATTTGAACACTTGAATAAAATATCTATATATGTGCAAAAATCAGTGTGCATTTAATGCAAGTTCCATAGTTTATTAAATATATCGGTACCATTCAATGAGAATGCATTGAAATCAAAGTCTCGTACATATAAAGTATGACTTATCAACATTAATATAAAATAAAGAACTAGCCGTACATAAAATACTTCTTAAGAATATATAGACAGGAGTGTTAACGCGGACCAAAAAAAAAACATGAAAGGCAACTTGAGCTTGGTGGCAATGAGAATACCATGCAAACGTGGTAAAATTAAAAAGGATAAACTGAGGCATGATTATCTTAAAGGGCTGGCAGGAGTAATACCTAATAAAGATATGCCAGTTGAAAATACACTTGGGCGTACCACAAAAAATAGATAATACAGATAGATTTATTGTCAAAAGGATTTGGAAGAAAATGGTGTTTGCTAAGTAACATGGCTAATAGTTGTTAAAAAAAATTGTGAGAGTAGGGTAAATGTCTCCTGCAACACTCAACAAGAATGAATAGAAAATGAAAATTCATAAAACATGCCACAAATAATTGGGATAAGGTTAATGTTAATGATGATGATAATAAATATATAGTGCCTCATTCGAAACCATAAAACAAATGTCATTGCATCCAACAATCCAGGAAAATACATAAAACATCAAAATCAAAAATATCTACAAGAATGGAAGCCATATCAATCCATACATCTGGGAAAGAGCAAGTTAGCTTGAAAAGTAGATGCTGTCCTAATCTTGCAATGGCAACACATAATAAACTTAGGCTATAGCAATACCTGCAGAACTAGAATCCCATATAGCATATATAGTAAATTTCCCATACAAAATAACACATTTTAAGCAGAACAAGCATCTGTGTTAGCCCATGT